CCCCCCCCCCACGTGATCAGTCACCTGGGACCCCCTCTTCTTCCTCACAGGGGCTGCGCACTCATCACTCTCCTCTTTCCTCTGTTCCGGAGACTGGCAGCGCCGTCGTTGAGGAGTCAAGGGAAGTGGACAGCGGCGAGGGAGGTGGGATAAAGGTGGAGAAGGACGCAGGATTGGGGCCCACACCAACCAGGTTGCACGAGATCATGTCCTCCACTCCTCTCAAATGCTTGACAATCCTGTCGATTTCTTCCCCCTTCCCCTCCCCCGATCCGTCCAGCAACACCTCGATGATCGCGCGCCCGTCACTGCTGCTTCGGAAGCCGTACTGCTTCATGACCCCTGCGGATCCCTGAGCCTTGATCCCATTGATCACCTCCTGAAGCATACCGTCCCTTTCCCCCGTCTCCGCCCGCAGAAGCACCGCGTCCCTAGGAAACTGATCGAAGTCCAAGGGGAGGACTAACGGTTTGCCCTGTAGGAACTCCAGCTTCGACACCACCTCTGCGGCCCGAGGTCGGCGGGCGGGGAGACGATTCAGCATCCGCCCGAGCATCTCCACCATCTCCCCGTTCTCGTCGGACCAGGCGGGTGGCATCTTCCCCTCGTGGATCTTCCGCATCGTCAGCATTCGCTCCATCCCCGTGCCAAAAGCCGGGTGAAAGAGCTCGAAAAGCATCACGCCCAACGAAAACACGTCCGTTTTCTCGTCGTAATCGCCGCCACTCAGCTGCTCTGGGCTTCCGTACACAGGTGTTCCCACCCCCGCCGTGTTCCCGAATTCCTCGCCGTCCTCAACCCCATCTGTCCAGCTCTTTCCCTCGTTCCCCTTCCTCGCCCCCGCCGGAGAGGGTGGTGTGCCGGCGCCATTGCGTCCATCCACCCCTTCCACCGCCCCTACATGGCGTGAGAGACCAAAGTCCCCGATTTTCACCGTGTGGCCCTTCTCGCCCACCAGGAAGCAATTCGTCGGCTTCAAGTCCCGATGGATCAGCCCGCGTGCATGGACGTACGTGACGCCACGGGCAATCTGCAATGCAAGCTGGAGGGCTTCCGCCTTGTCAACCCTGTGAGCGCGTGAGGGCGCATCAAGGAAGTCTTTGAGGGTGCGGTTGGAGCAGTATTGCATCTGAATGTACAGACACAGGTCGAACACGACCGGCTCACGACGCCGGCGAGCTTTGCCTCGGGTATATGTGAGTGTTTTCCTCTTTGCAACGCCGTCGTTCCCTGTCTGATTGTCTAAGGATACGCTGGAGTACTGCCAGCCTCGCTTGGAGGTGGGACTAGGTGCATTGCTTTTCCTGCGTGAAGGAAGCCTTTCCCCTGTCGGGCGACTGCTCTCGCCCTTTCCGTGACTGCTGCTGCTCCCACCCTCACAACGCACCCTTCCACCGGACGTGGAGGACATGCTGTGGGCAGAGGCCGCTCCTCCCTCCCCCGAGTCGACCGAGACATCCGGGGACCTCGCCCATATGACCAAGCCATTACTTTGCTCTGCATCCTCCCGCTTCGTGTCGCTTTCACTGTAGCCCGACACGTCCTCCTCCTCTTCCTCCGACCAATCGGAAATGCGACTGTGCTCGCTCATCTCAACGCTTTCCCGCCTTCCTTGTTCTCCCCTTCCTTTTCCTCCCTGATGTTGTTGAAGCGCTGTCCGCCGGGCGAAAGACTCCATTGACGCCGTGCGCCTCGATAGCGGCAGCCCGCTAGCATGCACTCTCCCTCTTGTTTTTGTCTCTAACTCACAGCCCCTATCATTATGACTGTCAGCTTCCCCACCGTCCCGCTCTTCTCCTTCCTGCCCGTTTGGTGCGCATGGCGGGGTAAGATCATGACGCCTCGTGCCGTTCAAAGCTTTGCGCGCTGATGACGAATAAGGTACCTTCATCCCTTTCTCTGGCTCAACCAGGCCGACCCCGTCTTCACTACCCTCGCCATAGCCCCCTCCGCTTCCGCCACTGACCAAGTTCTCCAAGTCCCCCCGGTCAACTCCATCGTCTCCATCGTCTCCATCGTCTCCGTGTAAAGACAAGGCTTTCGGTCGAGTCCCTCTCCCTCTTTTCCTCGACCACAGAGCGCTCAATCCCCCGCCCCCCCGGCTGAGCATGCTTTCGGCTTCCGAGCCGGAAAACGTGGAAGAAAATCCCTCCCCATTGTCTCCATGCCACGTAGTCCCCATATCTTCCCCCTTATGCGAAAGGCCCGAAGAAACAAGCGCTGCAGCGTTGCCTACAGCCGCTGCGAGCAAGTCTTCGGGTGCCAACCTTTCCAACCAAGCTTGATAATATCTGATAATATTGGGATGATCTAGAAGGGCAAGAATTTTTACCTCTCGCAACACTTTCTCCAATTGCTGACTCCAACGTGCTGCCGACGACAGGCGAATCTTCTTGATCGCATAGTCGTGACCGTCCAACTTATTGGTCGATCGAAACACGGTCCCAAAGCCGCCTTTTCCCAATGTGCAAGCTTCGTTGAATTCGTTTCGGTAACGTTGATTGGAAAGGTAGAGCATCGGATTTCCCTCCGCGTCGGAGAGGACGGCCGTGGATAGATTTTGAGCCTGCACGTCCAGTCCTGGCGTTGGCTTTGGCGCGGTTTGAGATCCCAAGGGCACGGCGTGTTTGAGCTGACGCTGTTCCCTTTTTGTATTCATTTTATTGATAACACCCGTTGCTGTGGTTGCAGGACCTGTCGTGCCTGTCAGCAGCTGTGCTCCACTGTTGATCTGACTCTGCGGCGGGACGAGAACCGGAGCGGTAGAAGAGGCCCGCGCGTCTCGACTCGATCTCGATCGTGGAGTGGCATGGGGGACGATTTCCGAGGCCGTATCAAAGGACCAAGACGACCGAAGGCCAACGCCACGGTGCATAGCTTGAAGCCGCTGCAGTGGCTGGCCCTCCATCGACTTGCTCTCCGAGGCTGGAGATAGCTGGGAAGGAGTCCGGGGAGTCGGACTCGTACTTTGCCTCGCCTCGGAGCCATCACAATCCACGCCAGGCTGCGCATGTGCGTGCCAGGTCTTCTCTTGAAGATCGAGTCCCACGGCCCCTGCTTCCCCTTGTCCTGCGTAAGCCCCCTCCTCGGGCCTTTCACCCCCCAGCCACGCCGTCCACGCCCTTCGCCATGACCTCCACCGCGCCATCGCGACGGCCACGGCCGCCAGGACCATGCCAAGCGCCACCACAACCATGACAAGCAGAGCAAAAGACCCCTCCAATTCCACGTGGAAGCTTGCGTCCCCGCCGTCGACGCCTTCAACACCTTCCTGGCTGGTGCTCAGCCGGTAAGCATCGCACATCCCATTCTCCTCCCCTTCCGATGACTCGGTCGACGCGCCCATGTAGGTCAGGAGCAGGGGGGTCGTGGGGGATGTACTCACCATCGCCTCGTACACATTACCGCCCTCGGCGCGCGGCGCTTTATCCTCCCCCGGGGGCAGCAGCAACGCCAACGGACGTTGTCCATGGAGGCGTTCCCATTCGTTGCAAGTCCGAAACCCACTGCCGGGGCCACTCCCCGGGGGCACCCCACCACGACCCGTGGCGCCCCCAAGATCTCCCGGACTGACCACCGCTCCACTTTCCCTCTCCCGCTGCCTACCGGACCATGACGTCGACGACAAGCGGGCAAATGGGGTGAAGTCTAGCAAGCGCCGCAAAAAGTACGTGCTGCTGCTGCTGCTGCTGCTGGCTCTCCTCCCTACCCCCATCCCCTCCCCCCCCTCCGCATCCACCCT